AAGTTTCGTTACGATCACGCAATTATTTCTTGGTGCGCTTATGTTTTTGTCCATGAGTGTATTTGGGCTTGGGGCTCAAAACCTGAGTTTACAGGGGACCCTATTATTCTCCATTACGCCACTTAATGGAGCTATTGAAGTATTTTTGGAAGTAGGTTTTCCCCTCATATACTACAAAGGGACAAGGGTCTTGAGTTTACAGCTGCTGCCATACAAAAATTAACAGCTTGTAGTTCACGAGCAAAGTTATAAATGTTAGACGTGGACATCCAGCTAGTCAAGGACCCATTGAGTGATCAAATCAAGATGTTGGAGCTATGTTATGTGCTTGGATAATTGTCAATCACACAAAAACTTGAGCTATAAGCTGTCACTTTGTTCAATTCCAAAAGAATTATTCTTTTCATCAAACTATTAAATGATCACCTCGCAAAGATTTATGTTTAACAGAACCAAAAACAGGACTTCAATCTGGAAATACTTCGAAAAAGTTGCTTGAATTTTTTTTTTTACTGAAGCGGATTTCGATCTACTTCTTAATTAGAAGGACTATGATATTATTTTGCACCAAAGACTTACCAGAAACTTTCTTGGCGAACAACAAAGATGCTTCAGCTTCGAGAGATTTACAAGAATCTGACTAAATTGATTTACACTCCTTGAACTTGAAATGATGAATTAATAGTTGAATCAACAATAACACTTTAATGTCACATGATCTACCAACAGCTGATTTACTCTCCAAAAAGGTTTAAAAATTTAGAGTATCTACTAGAAATTGAATCAATTTCTTTATCGTCAATAAGGTAACTAAAAACATTTAACAACTCTACTTCAACTCTTGCTTCAACAGTTCAAACACCTGTTGTGTTACTTGGATTAGAAGAAGCAGCAGTCAGTGATAGTAAAGCATGTGTTTTTTGGAGAATAAAATCAACTGAAGTTCATTCATGTGACATTTGTAAAAATCCGGTGCGCACAATATGCAAGAAAAGAATGAAAATTCTATGATGTTTATGTCAAAAGGAAAACAGTATTAAATATCAAAGGAAAAATACTGCAAACACGTGAAAAGATAGCTGAAATAAATTATAGTTTAAAAGACTAAAAACCTCGCTTTTATAGTCAATCGAGCTAAAAAAAAAGTAAAAAATAATTCTAAATATAATAATAAAATGATTAACGTCAAAATTAATGCCATTGTGGTAAAAGCGTGGGGTTTGTTATAATATCTTAATTATATATCAATTGTTATAATATCTTACTAATTCTATTCCTGATTGTTGAGTTAGTGTAAAAATGTGGCACAATGCACCCCAAGCGCTTTTACCACAATGACATTAATTTTTCTCGTTAATCATTTTATTCTTATATTAAGAATGATTTTTTTTTTACTTTTTTGTTCGATTCACTATGAAAGCGTATTTTTTAGTTTTTTTTTTTTTTTAACTATAATTTATTTTCCCTTTTAGTTCGATCTACAATAAAAGCGTGTGTTTTTTCAGTTTTTTAAACTATTATTTATTCATTAATTAATAATGCGGTATTTTTTAGAATCTCGAATACCCACTGGCATCCTATCAGTGCGTCGATACAGTCTGGTTTGCAAAATGTAGGATCAGCTGACTGAAGGAAATCTGGAAGAGCTAAGTGCGAAACATTTAATATGGAAGCAATGATAAAAAAAGTGTAAAAGCAATGATATTTTTTCTCTAAAAAGAGCTCAAAATTCTTTCTAAAACTTACATCAGCATTAGACATAAAAGTACAAGTTTTGAATCGAAGAGTTTATGAGAAATTATTAAATCCAGTGACCTCTGAATCAATTCTCAGATGTTTTGGTAGTCACCAAAACTGGAATTAGCCATCAATTCCTGAAAAGTGATCTGGAATTAGTCGCCAAATCTGGAAATGGGAAATTATTAATCCTAATGATCCTGATCAGGACAATGGAACAAATTATTAAATTATTGTATTGTCATCGGTCCTTGACAATTGTGCAAAATTTCGAATTAATCTGATTTTTTTAAAGCGGGTAAAAATCGAGTTCAAAGATTCCGTTACATATCGGTGAAACTTATAAAAGCGTGTTAAAAATGAAAGAAGTTTAAAGGTTTTTTTGTTAGAGAGAACTCCACTCACACACAATTTTGTTGCATGTGCCAAAGGGACGTAGAGGTCTATTAGATGGAAATAGCATAGAGGGGATCGTGTTAAATTTAAAAAGTAATTTATACCTAATTGGTACTTTAGTTGGAATCGTAAGAGATTGGCTACCTAGAAATGCTTTTCAAACAACAACACATTTACCGAAACAGTTCCACATATTAATCTAAGTCTGCATGATATTGCAGGAAATTTATCCTTAATTTGAGGTCAAGGATTTATGAAGTATTCTTGAGTGCAATCTAAATTACAATGTCAAACTAAAAGATTTTCTTGTAAAAAAAAGTGACGTATTTTGTAACTCGAGATTCAACAAATTAGCAACATTTTTAACTATTAATTAGTTGTATTCATGAAAAAAATGTTTGAAGTTTTATTAAAAAAATGGTTTAAAAAAATACCAGCTAAAGTGTGTCTATTTCTCTTTTGTTAATTAGTTTCGAATAAATAATTTGTATGTTAATGACTATTGAACTACTTACTCTAAATTTAATAAGGCACGAGAGAGAGAGAGATTTACTAGATAAATATTTTTAAACTGCTTTAACAATATTATTTCCTCTTTTCACTTAAACAGTTCTGGGATCTGATCAAATCCCCAATTTCATCATTTCCCTGTGACATATATAAATAGTTTTCTTTTTTCATTTAATTTATGCATTACAAAGGAAATTTTACTATACAAAGCATTGATCTACCGAATGACTTAAGCAGTGAGTTTCAAAAAGAAAAAAGGAAAAACATTCACCTGAAAAAGAATAGTTATAGTTTAAAACTGTCATTTCTGACATCAGGAGATGATCTGTAAGAACTTCCCTTGTTACATGCATAGCTTTTTTTTTTATTTTGGTTTTAAATAACTTATTTAATATTATTTCTTTTTTGCTGTTTTCTTATGATTCCTTCTTGACTCAATTTCGTAAGCATTCTGGAATAAAAAATTTTAGTTTTATTGTTTATAAAATTTTTAACTGATTCCTCGAGCATTTTTATTTTCATTTGTTAATGTTTATACATTCAAAAATTTTATACACATTTTTACCTAATTTTCTTTTAAACTGTAGGATCAAAGGAGATTTTATTTAACGATAATTTTCGATAGATTTGTTTTTTGATATCTTCGTTTAATAATATATCTGTTATTCTAACAGTTTTCTAATCTAAATTGATACTTGATTTAGTACAACAAATTGATTTTTAAATATTATTACTGAGAAATTTTCTTTTTCCCAATCACGGTAGATAATCAATTACGAGAGATTATTACAATAAAATCGAGGAGTTATGGAACTGATTTTATATTGTTTTTCATTTCGCTCGATTAAATCAACTACTTGATTAAATTAATTAGCTCCCGTAATTTTTTTAAATATCAATAATTTATTACAACAAAAGTAATTAACTTGTTTTTACATTTTAAAATTTTGACTCTTTTGACACAAAATTTAGAACCGAGGTACCACTATCTGGTTATTAGTAAATTACTAATTAGGCACAATTTTTGAAAAAATTTATAAAATGATGAGGCAAGCGATCATGAATAGAAATTGGAAATTCCTCATTCCATTACTAAAATTTAATGAAAATTTAAGGAATTTTCTTTTCAATCTTTCCTGAGAAAAAAATGTTTGAATTAGAAACAAATAAATTCAGTACAAAAAACTTCATGTTTTTAATTTAAAACCAGTTTATTTCTTTTTTGAGGATGTGTAAGGGAAAACATTGAAATAAATAAATGCCGATAAATGACAAACATGAAAACAGATTCATTTGACCGTCAGCAATTAAGCCTTTATACCTCACCCATAAAATTAGTTGAGGAATTATAATGACAGTAAACTCAATTAGGTTAGTAAAAAACCTGCAAACTAGGTAGAGATGTAGATAAACTTTATTTAAAACATCACCCCGACAAAGAATGAGGGCTCCGGCTAGTTTCAAATAAAATATTATATATTAAGAAGCTGCATTTATTTTAAGGTATCCGAATGTGGTTTAAAATCATCATTTTCCTCACAAAAAATTTAATTGATTTATAGTCTATTTTTCTAGCCTGATTAATTAGCTTCCTAAAAATATCTTTTTCTAATTGACTCAGAGTTAAAAATAAAAGTTACAGTTGTTTTTGCTTGGGGTAGTAAGCCCAGATCGGAATCGGAAATTAAATCCGAAACTGGAAGTGTGAGTTTTCGGGTGATTTCCATGAGAAAAGAACGATTTTTATTCATTTAAAATATTTTAACGAGTAATTTTCATGTTTAGTAAATTTTATTTCACTTTATAAATGTTTTAATACATATATTTTGCTTACAAATATGCAACAGTTAATTGATTGCAATATTTATGTATAGTGTTTTTTATAAATCTATTTATTGTGCTTTACTTTAAAGCCAATAGTACAGGAAATGAATTCCAGATGTCAGTGTGTTTTCCTTATTAGTGCTGCCAACCCCTGAAACAAATATTTTCCCTATAACGGACACCTGCGTGAATGTAGGGAGCCATTTCGGGAACTTTTTGACTCTAGTAGTAATATAAGTCAAATAAATTAAATTTAAAACGTTCATTTTTTTTCAATTCTTACTATTAGTTCACCCTCCCCTATATATATTTATTTATATGTATATATATCTTGTTCAAATTTTCAATCGTTAATAAAATACTTTTTATTCATCCCCTCAAGTTCAAATACATTTTTTTAAACTTGTAGGGAATGACACTTGATGTTAATACATTTTTCAAATATTAAGTCATTAATTAACTTTAATTAATGAATAAATAGTAACAAAAATAATAGTCCAAAACCAGAAATGAAAAGGAAAAACACTCGTTGTGTCTCTGTAGCGTAATAGATATCGCGTTTGATTTCTGGTCAAAAGGTCGTGGGTTGGAATCCCATTTGGGATGGCCTAATTTCTAAGAATGTGATTTCTGTTGAATGTACTATTTTATTGGAATAATTAAATTTAATTAATGAATAAATAGCAATAAACAGAAATAATATTCCAACACCCTATATAAAAAAGAAAATTTGATTTCTATTTTGCTACTTAATATTGCGATTCTGTCATATGTATATACATATTTATATTAATTGTAGTTATGTAATAAAAAAGTAACTGAAATAAAATGTTTCTTTGTTGACCTAAGTAGGTATTGACTTTAAAAAAAAAGAAATTTTTATTACTTGTTAACCATTTTAGTTGATATAGCTTTGAGCATTGAATTTTATATTAGTGGTTTTGAAATAATTATTTTAGAAAATATTTCTTTGAATATCTTGCTAAATAGTACTATTAATTAAATAAATGTCTCTCTTTTTACAGTCAAATATTTTTAAAGGAAATTATTTCATAATTTCTCTCTCTTTGCGTAAATAATCTAACAATATATAAACTATTTACAATGTTAAATGTTATGTAAACAGCTCATGCATGATTTTTTTTTAAAAATGGTTAAAACTGCATTAAAACATTTAGCAAAACCTCATCAAAACAAATCATAATGCACGAGAGAGAGAAGCAATATGTTTTGTGAGTTGCAGTCATTTAAATCATAATTTAGCCTGTTGCTCTCAGCCACACCGGAAGACGAGAGATCCAGTTGTAGATTTGCTTAATTTAGAATTAAATCCTCTCCCACGCGGGAAAACTCTAGAATTCGGATTTCAGATCATTGATAGTAGCTTTGGAGGCGAAACCTTCGCGCTAATTAGAAACATCTGCATATTAGCAACATTCGGATGTTTGTGACGAATGTTGTGTTTCGATTGCTTAATTCCGCATTACCCATTATATACTAACAGGTACTTGAGACGAACATGGAAACATAGAAACTTTGTGCAAGCGTGTAAATTTAGCTTACTAAAGGCAGTTTTATACAGATGAGTCACTTTTGCTTGATATTTACCAACTTATTGTTGTTTGTTCTTGCTAAAAGTGAATTTATAACTTTACACTTAAAAATCTTATTTGTGGTTTTTAAAGAATTAACGTTTACATTTGCATATTTATGTTTTATCGTTATTTCATATATTTTCAAGTTTATATAAGATAAAGCGCAGCGTACTTTTAATAATTTATCATGCATTTTACAATTTCTGGTTATTTTAATGAATGAATGATAGATTATTGACACATCTTATTTTTTTTTGTTACGTTCTTATATTTATTTAAAAATAAGATAGACATTCCTGAAATAACAGACTTTGTTCTGCAATGGCTTATTTAAGAGTTATGCAAAATTTTATTTTTTTATCCTTACATCTAATATATTTACTTATTCAAAACAAATTTGAAAAAGTATTTTATAGGAAATTATGCAGTATCCTTATCCAATATAGTTTTAGTAACTTCGAAAGACATCTTTTGAAAGGAAATTTTTTTTAAAAAACTAACTAATATAAAATCGGGGGTTTTTTGTAAAAAAGTGGGGGAAAAAAAGAGTTTAAATTTTTTTTTAAATAATCACTCAATGCAAATAATTTTATGAACTTAATTATTAAAAATAAGGAAAGTCAATTTATCTAAATGAAAAGAGTATCTGCTTAATGGCTACTCTATAAATAAAAGCTTGTTACGGTTATACTGAATCTGCCCTGTGTGAAACTTCATTTGAGCTAGAAAAGGACACTGATGCATTCCTATCAAATTTGTTAAAACACAAAAATGTTTGTATATTTACCAAGAAATATAGTGAAAAATATAAGAGTGAAAAGTAAAAATAATGGAATGCTTTCATTGATTAGTGTCTATGGCATGAAAAGGAAACCTATTTTTAACTACAAAATCTCTCAGCCATATACTTTTTAGCATTATTTTTTCCTCTTTTATTAATCATCACACTGGATCTCGGCCAATTCAGCACCATGCATTTTGGCAATATATAATTTTATTTTAAATACTTTAGCTTGGATTTTCGCCTTTACAATTCTCATAACATTGAATGAATCAGCACTAATTCAAATATATTGCTCAAATTACTAACAGCACTATAGCAGGTACTGAGTAAAGTCATTCTAAGCGAGACATCCTTAATGTGTATGTGTGTGTGTAAATGATTTGAATATTAAAGTATAAAATAAAGAATTGAAATTTTGGTAGCAAAAAAAGACATAGATGCAGCAGTATTCATAAACATTACTGACGAAGGACTGCTTTTTTTAACCCCTTGCCTCAGGCCTGTATATCCATCTCCTTCATCAATGCGTTAAATACCACCAACGGATATATACATCCATACGAAATACGATTCTTTTATTTGCGATGCTATCAGTAAAACTATTCCAAAGGCTTTGGAATGAAGTAAAATGGCATTGACAATGTTTGAGAAAGATTTACTTATTTCAGAGAAAAATTTGCTTATTTATACCATTTTCTTTTCCCTCCAATACATCGAGCACGCGTGCCTACGTGAAAAATGATGGCACTGGGGGGCGAATTGCGTAACTTTTAATTGATGGTTTAAAAGTTATAAAACGCAGCATCAAATAATAATAAATAATTATATATAATCTAAAAATATTATTAAATCATAATAATAATAATGGATTGTTATCAACGAATAATAAGCTAATCATTGCCAGGTTTAATGTTCTTAAAACAAATTCAAGGTTACAAAAATAAAGACTAATTTTTTGCAAAATTTGTAAATAATTAGTCCTTAATAACTTGCAATTTGCTTAGAATAATTTACAATTAATTCAATCTATTTGCAGCTGACATGAAACTCCATACCACAGAGTGACATTCAGGACTTGTATGACACAATGCAAGCACGTTTGAAGACTTGCATTCAAAATTCTGGAGGTTACACTGGCTATTAACGTGTAATACCATTTCGCATTTGGAACGCATTTTCTTGAGCTTAAATTAACCTATGATCTTGAAAATTTAATCTATTAAGCATGTTAACTGGACAACAGTGGCGTAACGTGGGGGTACCGAAGGGGCCATGGCCCAGAACGGCATGCGAAAAGGGGCGGCGGCAAGAACCGCGATATTTAAATTCAAAAAATATTTCAAACGCCAAATCGCGCCCGCGTGAAGAAACTGTATATACTGTAATACTGCGAAAACTGTAATACACGTGCAGAAGCAGAAAGTTTATTAGTCACTATGCAATCGCATTCATTTTTATGCTTCTTAGGCTTCTGGCAGCCGGTACTGTGATGCTTAAATGATGCTTAAAATTATTTGCAAACATAGGGACTAAATATACATCAATGTGCTAAAAAAATACGTGCTTTACAGACCGTATTAGAAGCAAAACGAGAGGAATTCGTGAATGATGCTTTAATATGTGCTTAAAGTATATGTGAAGAGCTTGAAATTTCTTTTGAACTCCCAACACGAATCAGGAGGAAGCATATATTTGGCGACGGAAGTAAAGATGTTCAGTTATTGTACGAAGATGCCTTGAGGCCAGTGGCGTAACGTGCACCCCCGCATCACGGGGGACATGGTTCTAGGAGGCCCAAAACTTGACTTTGGAGGAGAGCTGAAATGTTCTCCGTTACGCCACTGTTTGAGGCAAACAATATGTTCTTCAATAGACAGAGTACCTGCTGAAATTCGAGAAAGATTCCAACAGTTGCAGAATCTAGCGTAAAAATAGGCTTTTTTAAAGCCTGAAGGGATATTGAGCATGGACGAACTTAACTTAGATCAAGCTCCTCAAGACATTAATAAAGAAAATTCCAACTTGAGCGCGTACGTCAACAAGCTTTCGCAGCTGCAATAAAAAAAAATTTAATTTCTTGTAACCATTGTACGAGAGACTTGTCCTATTTAAGTCCAAGAGAAATCTGTGAAAAATTGCCTGAGTTTATTCTTTAAAAACTTTTGAATAAACTTCCACAAATTAGTAAATAAACTGAAAAAAGATTGTATTGAGCAGTGGTTTAGGATTTATTTGAATTTACTAATACATCATATGACAGTTTGTAAAATAATTCTTCCATTCAGTATTTTAAATAATTTTAATTTTTAGTGTTGCATAAACATTGTTGATAACATACTTATTTCTAATATTTCAGATTTCCCAAGACGTGTCTTTCAGGAAAAAAATAATCAAACTTCTTCTGAAACTGGAACAAGATGACATGCAACAAAACCGTAAGCATTTTTTTTTTTTGTCAATTAGGATCTAAATGAAGGAAAATTACATAGTTATTTTATGAATACGAGTATAAGATAAAGATAGACATTAATGAAATAATTAATTCAAAGAAATTGAAATTTTCCCTTTATGCAAATTAAATATACTTTTAAAAATATATTTATCTATTTGCCTGAAATTAATTATTGTGTTAATGTTAAATTTTTGCATACAATAAATATTAATCTATAAAATAAATATGAAACTTTATTTTATAATGGGTTGTGTTACAAAAAACGTGAAGAAATTACTGTTGCTGTAATCAACATATGATTATATATATTATCAATCCTCATGACATAATATATCCCTCTTGCTTAAAACAGTTTTTCCCCTTATGTTTTCCTATATTTTCCGAATAAAATTATTTCATTTTTTAAATGCCAATTCTCAAGTGACTGTTATTTCTTTAAGATAAAAATACTGCAAACATCTTCAATTTTATCAATCTCCAGCCACATCTACCATAATAATATAAGGAATCTAAGGTCTTATCCTCATTATATATAAATAGAAAAAATTCATTACAAAATAACCATTTAATATAAATCAATGTAACTTTTTATCATTCGATAGGTCAGTTGAAGTATTTTTTTTTGGGGGGTTGCAGTATATGTTGCGGATGCTCTTTCAAGAGTGCCTCGGTGGAACATTTGTAAGAAAGACATAATTTCTTGGTGAAATGGTATCGATTCAAGAGGAAGCCCAGTGTATGCTTTGGTTTCACGAAACGAAATCGTCCATTAATA